AATTAGATACCCATTTTGTATGAATCATTAATTTAATCCATATAGGTATGTAAATAAATATAAAAAAAAACTTTAAACAAGTGGCAACACCTTAAAAAAAAGTTTGTGCATGCGCCATTTTGAATGAATTTGTAATAATTTGTTTACTTTAACAATTTTATTTAATCAAAAAAATTTAAACAGGTGGCAGCGCTTCTCAGAACTCATTCCAACAGAAGTTAAAAAAAAAATTAAGTTTGATACCCATATTGCAATGAATTATTTACTTGATTCACATACATAATTACAAGTAGATAAAAAGTTTGAATAAGTGGCAACCTTTTTATTTTAAAAAATGTGTTTATCTATAAGACATCTGGAATTTATATGTAATAAGTCGTTGATCTTATAAATTGTATTTAACTCAAAAATGTAAACAGATGGCAACGCTCTGTAGTGATTATTTACTTTTTTTAAATGTTTACCAAAATAAATTAGATCAAAAGTTTAAGCCAGTGGCAACCTTTTGCCTTTTTTGAAAAATATTGCATAGTTTTCCTAGACCTTTATAGTTCAGTCGCCATATCATAGACATTATTTACTTTATTCCTATCATTATCAGAAAATATTGGAATCTTCTACGTTTTAAAAAAATACATATAAAACCTGGAATGTCTGAGAGCCTTCCTTTCGTATACATTTTTTATTCATAATGTTTGACGCCATATCCTCTTCGTTTATAATGCAAGAATTATTGTATAAATTTTTACAGATATTTTTTACTAAACAATTTCATTTAAAAAATCATATTTTTGATATAAAAACTCATGTCAGCCGCTGAACAGAAACGGAACAATAATTTATCTACAAAAAATTCCGGTAAAATTTAATTTAAAGCCACTAAAGTTCCATTAACTAAAGTAAAGCCCAAAGTGACCTATATATATCTGTTTCTACGGGCTTTCGTTTCAATTCCGCTTCGCCACATTCACTGCATCCCTTTCGAGTTCTTTGTACAGAATATTCACACTCATATACATACTAAAAATACTAAAATCCGACATATATGAGAGATATAACGCATTCCTTGAGGTTGAAACCTCAAACCAAGAATACTCTAAATAGACGAAGATAACACCGAAATTGTGAAAAAAACGTCGAAAATTGTCTTGTTAATTTTTAGAAAGGTTCGTTACTGAGGCACTCAGCAACTTTTATGAAGCGCCTCGAAAGTTTTCTTTTTTAAGTACTTGTGGTATGTAACATGTTGCTGGCAAACCCAAAGATCTGAATTTTCTGCAAAGAAACATCGAATAGAAAACGTAAAAGAGAGGATTACCGACACGACTTAACGGCCAGTCACACAACCCTGCAGATATTCCATTAAGGAATATATGATGCTCTACTCCTTAAACCAACAGTAATTTTAATTTGATTAATACGGTAATATATGGTGAAGCCACGGTGGAGTAAGAGTCAGGTTTTTATTAATATTTTGACAGAGCAGTGTTTATAATATATAGTATATAGGTACAACAGAACTTATTTCCGCCGGGATATTGGCAAAAATTAACAATATTTTAAAAGCTACCACTCTGATTTTTATTATGTAAGTCAAAGCTTGGCACACAAATGGTGGTTGCCACATGCAAGCTATTTATAAATGTTTTCACCAAACTACTGCTGTATTAAACATAAATAAAAGAAAACAGTTATACACATTGAAGTGCTCTAAGAGTGACTAAAAAATTTAGACTCAGCTGCTTTTACAAAAAATCCCGACATATTTGTACAAAAATATCGAATTTCGAAAAGTAAATAGGCAAAGTAAACAGTTATTCTCGCACTCAATGGGCTTAGAAAGCATCAAGAAAAACACACAAGCTCACATGTATACATATGTATGTGTGTATGTATTAAGTCGTAAGCACTTGACAAATAACAAAATTGCAATTAAGTTTCTTTTGCGGTCTTTTTTTTATTAGATAAGCACTTATAAAGTAACACATACATACTTGTATATGTACAAAACTACTCGTAACTCCCAAAGGCATCGTCACAGTATTACATTTCTCACCCAAACACCCGCTTGAGTATGTCATACATACATATATACAATAATACTTTTTCATCTACAAATGTATATACGTATGTGTATTTCTAAGTATGTATGTACGTATGTATGTATGTGTGTATTTGGCCTATGCCATTCAATGCAACTGGGACTATTTACAATCGCTTGAAGAAAGGCAACTTGCTCTCCCTAATGTCTATGTAGTGACAAGTGTAGGCAATAATAAAAAATATTGCTGGGGCTATATATCAAGTACTAAGCCGATAAATACATTAAATAAATTCGGTGAAAAGGGCAATAACAAGTGTATTTTTTTTTATAACACACACATGATTTCATATATGCACACACACACACGCACACACATAAGCGCTCATTTACAGCAGTATATTTGTACGTAAGCGAGTATATCGATTACAAGTGGCGTCGTTTGTTTACCAAACATGAAAAGTAGCAAGGACTTAAAAAAAAATAATGCCGTTAGCGTTGAAAAAATAAAAATAAAATAATAATAGAATTCTTTGCGTTGAAAATGCTTTTTATACAATGCATTAATACTTGTATACACGCATACACGCATACATACGTACATTTTTATTTTTTAGTACGGAAGTGAAGGACAGCAATACCATATATCTGTCAATCGTTTGACCATTTGAAAAGTATTTGTATATTTTTAATTCAACAAAGTGCGTTTTTAGAATTTTGAGAATTTTCGTCTAGTAAACAAAAACTCCATAATTTTTCGAATAGATTGCTTTAGTAATCTGTATCTCGGATAACTTCGTTCGAGTTACGCCATATTGCGTTAGAAAGATACGATTTCGTACTCAAAAAATTTCTCAAACAGTTTTGTGATCGCTTAAGTCAGTACTGTTTGAACACGCGTCAAAGATGGACACCAGCAAAAAATAAGCCATATTTTACAGTATTTTTTTGATAAAGGTGAAAACGCGGCTGAAAATGTGAGTAGTGTTTATGGTGCTGATACTATAACAGCTAGTTGTGCGCAATTTTGATTTCGACGACTCCGTTCTGGTAATTTTGATGTCAAAGATGCGCCACGCTTTGAAAGGCCACTTTTCAAGCCATTGCTTTGCTTGAAAAAAAAATTAAATTAAATTAAAACACGAAATTGTTTATCATCCATTGTTTCCAAAAAACAAAAAAAGGAGCGTCACGCTTAGCACAATAACTCGCAAACTAATGAGAATGTTATGAAATTTTAACAACTGTCTTTTAAAGGTGCGGTGTGTGATGAATTCAATAATATTTAAGACCCGGGACTTTTTCAGCGCTTGTGTTAGTAGTTAGTTTGCTTAGGTCGATATCGATCTCGGCTGAGCACTGGGCAGCATTTACAATATATATATTTCAACATAAATTTAAAGAAACCAAACAAATATGCCTTATCTAAAGCGCCGTTTTACCTCCAACGATTTGGCGATTCAGATCAAAATCTGAGGAGACTGATAGTATTTTATGCTGCCGCACTAAAAAAAAAACAGAAAATGGAAGTGTTTTCGTTGGTTTTTTTTTTAAAGACATTGAACCCATCTGCTCTAAAGTCTCTCTCCAAAAACTACTCATACCAATATTGAGCAAATTCGCAAGTTCGCGTACCATCTCCGCATTTTACTTTATCAAAATACCTCACAATATTACAAATATTACAGCAAAACAAAATTTTTCTGCTATAATCCTCTAAAAGTACTGCACATACCATATACACATACAAATGTCATTTTAAGCAATTTGTGCAATTCCAAACTTAATATCCTTAAGCAATCGACAGTGCAAACACCAGGCAAGGTTACGCATAGACTTTGTGCCTACTACTTAAATTAAGTAATTTCAATTCCAATCGGATTTTAGTTATACTTATACTCGTACACTCACACCTCACCAATTCAGCTAATCAATTGAGCGACGGCATATAAGCAATCATCATCTTTAAATTGAAATATGTATTTGAAATCCTTTCAATTTTATTAAGATTTTAAGTTATCTGCCCAGCGCCACACACAATTCCAAAGCTAAACCCAGCCAGACTTTGTGGGTCCTCCGTCCGTCGTTTTTAACTCTACGCACTCACAATCACTTGGTCTTTACTGTTTTCTCTCTTTCGCTTTGCTATTTTGGCCCAAAGTGTGGAGCTACAAATTGAGTTTTCCAATGCATAAACCGAAATTGAACATCACTAATCCCTTTAAAGTGACACACTGACACCCTGTTATTGCTTAGCGTGTACGGTTATACGATTATTGCTGGCGCATTCAAGTACAGTATGCGGATAATTGAATTGTTCCCTGTCCGACAAAAAGATATTTCACATTGTAGCCTCACTCTCAGTCGTAGTTCAACGCATGCCATCGATTATGTAAATTTAGTGAACCAGAGGTAGTTTTCCTTTTTTTTTTTTTGTTGGCCTTGCACGCTATTCCGTTTGATTTTTTGTAAAAAAAAGCAATAAGTCGAAAGAGTTCTATAGCAATTCACTATTTCTTTTGATATGCCTCTCTAGTTTTCATTTTCTCTTTTGGGTTGGAGTTATGAGGAGAATCCGAGCGTAAACTGATTGTGCGGTAGGTGTTTGTTTAGGTATCGTTACGTCGGCAAGCTTCTTAATCAATTTGAGAGAATCAAGAGGGGTTTTTGCCACAGTATTTGAGTTTCAGTCGAGTAGATTCGAAAGGCGACTGACACTTTGAGGATCATAGATACAAAACCGATTCAAATGATAATTTTTTTTTCCAACACCGATGGTCCCTCGGAAATTTAAATCCGTCGAGAGTACATCCGATATGAAACAGAAAACTTCTCATAATACTCATCACTGACTCCTTAAATCAGACAGTACAATTGGAGAATAGAAAGAGAAGCTTGGATATTAAATGGCTTTACTTACATAGACTCGGTGACCATTACCTACTTAGTAGTAAACACATTTAGGGAATTCAATATCCAGACCTTTATTGGTTGATTTGATTTGGCTTAATTGTTCGATATTTCCTTTTTTGAAACCGATAACAATATATTAACGGAGGGGTATAGATTTAAAAGCTAAGGTCCGTTATGGTCCGAGAGTTTACGAAAATGTTTTACGTAATCAATGTGCTTTGAAATTGGAAGCAAAAAATAGGAGAACTGAAAGCTAAGAATTTACGCGCCCGTTTCTTTTTTAAGAAAGTCCAACTAAAGAGATTCTATAGAAACTACTCAAAATATAGGTATATGGGTTTTCGGTTAGAAGCATCAGAACAATATTTTCAGCAAATCGTACAACACACAAATGCTTTCTGCTAACTATCATTTCACAAAATTACTTTCCGGACACCTTAAACAGGCTTTAAATATGGTTTTAAATATATTTAACTGTAAGAAATAATATATATAAAACCATATGTGCTCGGATCAACAACAGTGTTCCGTGCGATTTTCGTGACGTATGACGACATCAGCAATCATCATATTCGGTGTGAGAAAGTCGTCAAGGTGGTCAGCACCCAGTCGAGGCAGGCGATCGAATGGAAAGCCCAAGGCATGATGATCGTGTTGCAAGAGATTCCGAAAGCTACTGGAGGCAGCACCATCAACGGGTTCTTCATCAACCTAAAGAAGTAAATTTAAGAAATTTGTAATACAACTGCTGTTCTAATTTTACTTACATTCTCCCGGTCACAATTTGATACCATAACGAAGAGATGACACTGCAAACCTTTGGTTGAACCCTTCGGTATCAGCATATGATGTGGCCAGCCACAAACATTTTCCAATGTTTCATTAGGCGCACGAGTCACTTCCAGTTCCCGGAAAGTACGCTCAACGGGAATTGTAAGGCTTGATTCAGTAGAACGACGACGTATGACATTTTCACCAGGTTGTACTGAAAAGAATTATAGCTGTACAGATACACTTTTCCTCTAATAAATATTTACTCACGTGATACCACAAATTTATCCAGTTCGATCATCAATAGCCTTCGTACGTTGAAAGGCATAGCCTGTCCTTCCTCATCGAACTTAGGACTGAGAAAGATGCGCACCAGGCCAAAACGTTTTGTGTCGCTCTCATTACTCACCTTGATTGTATATGTGAAGGGCGCATGTTGTAGGTGTTTGAAGCGCGCAAAAACATTACCGCGTGGCGCGAAGTCCAAACCACGTGACAGATCAATATCGGATTCCTGCCAGAAAGTTTTTAAAACATTACGTTCCCGCACATCCTCAGCTGTGACTTCCACAGATATTAAAGAGACGTCAACGTAGCGCAGCTCCGTAGCGGTGTAGGGTGTTAGACGTGCTTTGTGTTGCTGAAAGATACTATCGAGATATGCGTGCCATCTGTAAAAGGCGGGATCCCGCATTGCCGTAGCTAAATCACCCACAACACCAAAAGACTCCAAATGACGATGTGTCGGATCGTGTGCATAGGCGATGAAGAGATTACCCATATTATGAAGATCGCCGTAAAGGCTACGGTTTGGTGAAGCTATGGATGACTCAATTATATTGCCGAGCACATCGATATTGAGAGGTATATGCTTGTCACTTTCCTGTGGAAAAATATTTAAAAATAATTTGAAAATATATGGAAATGAAGCGAGGGCTTACCCGCTCACTTAAACTTACATCTAAAATAAAACCTTTCGTGATAGCTTCATTTATGCGTTCGCTCCATTGTTCCAATTCTACAATATCCATAATTAATTGATCCTGATGGCGTCGTACATCTGAAAGTTTGGTATTGTCGCAGCGTGGTGCCGACTCCATTTTGGGAAAGTAGCCTTCCCTAATATATTCGCGTAAATCATTTAAGGGTTCCACACGCCTCAAATCATTACCCAATCGCTCTGCATTGTACCTGGCTAAGATCTGCTGATACATGTAGTAGAACAATTCACCACGACGCATCTTAAATACAACACTGCGTTCGCTCGCCTCGAATGGATACAGCAAATACCGATGCCAATGGTATAAGTTCACACCAAAATCTTCACGAAAGTACCACAAACGATGCTCTGGTTCGTCTTCCGAAGCTGTATAATCATGTGGTATTACGATTGGTATACGCGAACCTTCGGGTACGATTGTGCATTCCTCGCGTAAATGCCGAAAAATTTGACGATCCACAAATTTGTTGGGGAAACTCTGTATGAAAGAGGGCAAACCCATGCCTTTGGTATCATTGCGGTGAAGTATAGCCACGCTCAACGCATAATTGTAGAGATATGGATTGAGTCGATCGTGCGCATAAATCGCAACACTCTGCAGTTCATCGATTGTGAGCGCGCTAATGAACGTATCGATCAGGCGCGCCGCCATTACACGATGTGCCGGCACGCAGAGCGAGAAATGTGCCTTACGTGACAATTTCAATGGTAAACTTAGATCGGGCATGGCAATATCTTGTACATTTACAAGTTTCTCAGCCCTTTCACCAAATCGGTCCAGCACTTCATTGTCAATAACGCGGTAACGATCGGTGAGAAATTTTTTCGGCACATCAAACACTACTCCTCGCCCTTTTTCCATGAACACGGGTTCGTGTGGACGATCGAAGAGTAAGAGAAGATTGTACTTCTCGCCCATACTTGGTTGACTGACTGAGCTTTAGCAATCGAGCTCTGGAAGGCGGTATTCTTCAATGCGGACCGCTGCACACTTGCTTGTAGACTTGAATTTAAACTGCGAAACCCGTGTGATCGTTTGCGACTTTATATGCAAATTTTGGATAATCCAATATTTTTGTGGCTTTTCACAAAAAACAATTGTGGTTTCAAAGTCCCGCATAACATTCGCTTAGCTAAATGCATTTTTGTGTAGTTCTATAGTGTTATCAAAGAATTAGTTTGAGGTTTTGCAATTTCGACTAGACAACCTAAAATATATTAAACTAAAATGCAGCAGAGTCTATCTTGCAATGGTTGAACTGATAAGAGAATAGAAAGCTCCGAAAAACTGTGTCTTCAGTAGACATAGGAATACCACATAGAAAACTCAAAACGCTTTTTTGTTATCTTACAAAAATGGTTATCATAAAGAGTCTCGGTTTAAGCCTAATTTTAAAAATACACGACGGTTTTTCAAAAAGCTTTTCATAATCTGGCGGCAGAAAATAGAAGAGGACTCCTGAAAAGAACAGAAACTTTGGTTTCTCTCTAATCTAACAAAACCCATAGTTTAAATTTGACAATCCGGTGATAATACTGCTTCCATCCTTATAATATCTCAATGAGTGAATTTCATAATTCTTAAAATAATTAAGATAACATACACAGTGGAAGAAAGAAAGGTCGGTAGCCACCGCCAGGCAACCGGGGGTGAGGTAAGGTTGTAAATCATACATAAATCAAAGAATGTCAGAAAGACAGTGTTAGAGAATTCCCGCATCACCAATAAGGAAGTTGCTAACATTCCCTATGCCTTGTACTTACCATATATAGGGTAGGGCACAGATACCACCGAAAGGGCTTTCAATTGTAAATTAATTAGAGGGGCTGATGAGGGGTTCTCATTGAATTTTTTGATATAAAATTTAATATAATTTATTGAAACTTTGAGAATATTTTATACATATACCATCTGAACAAATTTGACCCGAACTGATTCATTTAAACTACGCGCATAAACCGAATCGATCATCAACTTTTTAGATTAAATTAAACTTCTACAGTTGAGTTGATATCCCATATATCTCATTTGAAGATGATTTTAATATAATTTTCGCTGACGCGAAGTAAAACATGGCAATCAAGCTAAGCGAGTCTAAGACCTATTATATAACTCAATAAAATACCAAATTTGATTGTTATCCATTTTGCAATTTCATCGAATAATGAATGTTGAATTGTTTCGTAACATACAATATATGAAGCTTTCCTAACACCTGAAGATATTTTCCTTACTTTGATACTTGCAAGTTGCATCATCGGTTTCAATTTCAGCGACAGCTTATGATTGTATGTAAGGGCACCCAATATCATTACAGAAAAAAATAAAAAACCCAAAAAGTTGGTGATTTGAATTTTTTATATAAAATGTACGGTTATGTCAAAAAAGTCACAATAGGAAAGTTATAGATCCCTTCATTACCTATAACATTGTCATATAACGTTTTTCTGTAGGACCTGTAGTTTTGCCGTAAATCGAGATATGGCTATCCATTCTTAACCCATAAAAATTCAGCCACGCTCCTTCCCTTCGTTTTCGCAAAGTCAGATCGCGTGTAAATTATTTTTCCCTTAACTTATACATGTGCATAAATGTAGACACAATTTTATTAATTGTGTAATTAAATTTCAATAATTAATATAATAATTACTTAATTGCACCATTAATATACTAATTAACAATTAATAATTTGAATTATTTCCGTAATGCCTAAAGGTATGCAAGATATATTTCATAGTATTGCCATATCCACAATTCAAGTTATTTGAAATTCAATTCAATTGTTTTCTCTGCTTTGTTAACAAACAGCTGACTTATTCAATAATACTGCTAACCTATATCGTTTTCATTTCTTACGTTAACTTTGTTGAGCACACCAAAATTATATTTGCAAGCAATTTAATCAATACCTAAATGTTTAAAAGTGTAAAAGTAATATTTCTTCTTTACTAAGCAAACTCCTCATCTGGCAACGCCTACTTATACAGTCAACAGCTGTCAGCGTCCTTTGTTTGTTTATTATAAATGTCATATTTGACAATATTTTCTTTTAGGAAAAACAAAACTTTGTCATCAAACAGTGATAAGTGGAGAAAAATTCGTTTGTCAGTATTCGAAATTTTTTTGTGTTTGCTTTAATAATTTATTAAAGCGTTTAGTTTTATTTGTACAAATTTTTAGTGTTTTTTTATTTTTGGTTTCGTTGTAGTCTTAAATTGTAAGTGTTACTATTTTGGCTGTGTCATTTTATAAAACTAAAATATAGAAACTTTTGTTTATAAAAGTGATTGTGGCGAATGTTTGTGGGCAGAATGAATGCCAAAGATATATTAATGCGAGCAGTGCAGTGTGATCAAGCCGGACGGATTTTGGAGGCACAACATCTCTATCAAGATGGGATACAAATACTTATGGATCTGGTGGCGGGTAAGGAATAGCAAGTGAAATTGCTTCAACAAAACGTTGTGGACAATTTTAATTCTATGCGTTTGCATTTCTTTTGTTATTGCTCTTGGACAGACGAATTGGATGTGTCAAAGAAAAAGGTGTTTTATGAGCGTATCAAAGAGTACATAGACCGCGCGGAACAAATCAAGGACCGTGTACAGAAGCATGTCACACGCGGTGAGCTGGTCAAAAATATACCCATAGACGACAATTCTACCGGCAACAGTTATCAGTCGATATTCGGGCAGTACCTCAATGTGGATGTAAAAGAGGTGCTACTTGAAGAACCATATCTGCACGAAAAGTATCATGTATGTGTGAATAGCAATGATAGTATGCGCTGGAGCATAACAACTAAATATATTTGTGCAGTTTCAGAATCTTGTCACATTCTTGGAATTGTTGGTAAAGAACTGCCGTCACCTCAAGTATGTGAGAGTAGTCACGAAAACTGATGCCAAAGCGCCGGAGAACCAAAGAAATTTGCTGGAACAGATTAGAGCGGATATGTCGAGACGTAATATAACTTTAAGCATAAAATTCGAAAACACTTTGCATGATCGCAAAATTGTGTAAGTTACCGTTGTAATATACCTCTAATATATATGCATACAAACTAATCGCAGCTCGCCTAATTACAGTCTCAGCAACGGTTACATTATAAAGATTGGGCGTGGTTTGCATTTCTTCAAAGCCACTAATCCGTTATACAGCCTAGGCTTATGTGATTATGATTTTCGAAAATGCTTGCAAACGGACGTGGATATTTGGCGTACTAAAAACTTCATTGCCTGAAGTTGATAAGAGTGCTGGACAAAAACAATTACGTATTATGTCACTCGATCAGCGTTAAGCGTTTAACAGACATTTTTTCAATATTTCTTATGATTTTTTTTTAAGAATTTTATAAATATGTAATTAAGATCTTTTCATTTTTATCAACCAAAAAACAAAAAAGTTTTGTATTTAACTTTTAATAAATATTACTTACAAAACTGTAAATGTATTAAAAATTAAAACAATAAAAAATTAATTGAATGTGAATTGTGAGCAACAAAAAAAAATATTTTTTTTTCATTTAAAGTAATCTATAATCATCGTTGCTCGAAATGCACTAGTTGCTTTATTAACGCTAGCTCTTCAGCGCAGGCGTGTAAAGTATGCACCTACATTCCTACATACATACTATACATACATACATGGAAGCCCGCATAGGCACAATAGGACCTTGCCAAGTGTTCCGTAATCGCTATAAATCTTCGACAGAAGCCAAAGTTGCCTTGCTGACAGCACTATGTAGGCTGCGACAACGGTGAAATTGCATTCTTCTACGTTTTTTTTTTGTTTTTTTTTTGTTTTCTGTGTGTTCGGTTATTATATCGCACCACAGCCGCACAGCTGGAGGTGTTGCAATATTGGCAGTGAACAATGTGCAGCGAGCGACCTTTTATGCTGCCGCTACTGCTGCTGTTCCTGCTGCCCGCACATAGCTTTAGCGCAACCATTTATACTGCTTACCATATTTTATGTCATACCAGATACGAGATTTTTCGAGTGCGTCGACAGCTATTTGGGTGTTCCAGCATGCACACGATTAAATTTCTTGGCGCTGGTAGCTGCAGCGGCAGCGGCCAGAGCTTGGATTTGACTGCACAGCGTGAGTGAATTGAATTCCAAGGATGCAACAATTCTTAAAAATTAAAAATAAAAAATTTAAAAAACAAAAAGTAGAAGAAATAAAACAGTAGAGCTAGAGCTGCAGTCGTATAAATTGCACGCTCGAATGAGCGTTGCATAAAAACGCACTGTTTTATATCAGATTTTGGGGGTTTATGAATCAGTGTGTGGTTTGAGATTCAAGGATTTTTGATTAAAGCGTAAAAAGGCTGAAATAATGGAAGCTTTGTGTAGTCAAATTCAGTACTTAACAATGCAAATAGAGTAAGAACACTCAGGAGACGATACAACAAAAACAAAACCAAGACCTAGAGAAGTTAAATAATTTTTTTTGTTGTTGCAACGGTTTGGACATCATATAGGTGTTTTTGTTTCGATTTTCTGTCGATATTCAATCCAATTGTGCTGGTTTATTGACTTTGGACCAAGGTTTAGGCGCGTTACGTTCACATAACATAGTTTTTTTTAAATATAATTCCTCAATAGAGTTGCTCGAATCAAAGATAGCTCTCTCTTGTAAGTGGTTAGAAAGTTCGTAATCAAAATTAATTTAGCTGTCAGCCGAACTCTAACCTAAAATCTATCTCATCAAATGTGTATAAATATTAATAACACCGAAATCACTGAGTTTTACTGATCGTTGCAGACAGATTTAGATCGATTTAGCCGAGGAAATTAATGAGAAAATAATAATACTGATATATAATAATAATAAACTGTTGGGAAAATCTATAAAACAATATCTTATTTTTTCTGAGTGTAGCTAATCAATATGAAAGCTTCTGTAAAGCGCGTTTAATGTCATAAATGTTCTGATTAGTGAAAAACTCTGGTGTAGTAACGCTCTACTGTGTTACCAGAAAATATTTAAGATACTCAAAACATGTACAAATATCACGAAGCTTTCTTGACGAAATACTATAACGGAGATCCCGAATGAGCAAAATTTGCTTCTTACCTCGTAATTTCACCGTTCCGGAATCTCCGATGTAGTATTTCGTCACGAAGACGTTGTGAGCTGTCAAGACAGCTGGTTTTTGACTTTAAACTACCTTTGGTGGAGCTACTGTTCTTGGAGCGTCGCGCGCTTCTATTCTATGTGTTCCTAACTAGCTGGGAAGAGCCTCACTATTTGCTATTAGCTACATAAAGACAACATTTCGGAACTAGTTTTTCAGAACATTTTAGTCTTCCGATAAATTTTGACTTTACCCAAAGACTCTGCGGATTTTTAAATTTATTTTTAGGCATATTGCTACTGCTCTGTTATGAGCCGGATGATGGTGAATGCATCCACTCTGGGCTTTACTTTGCTTCACAAAACTCCTCAACTTATAACAATTTTAAAATTCCATGCATATCTGGATCAAAAATGGTGCCATAAAATGTCTTCTCTATCATCTACAATGGAATATCTGTAGACTGCTTCTGCGGCTAAAACAAAAAAAAGTACTGTGAACAGACGCCGAAGCTTTGTACTGGGAAAGCTCCTTTGCTACAAATAATAAAGATGTTCGGTAGCAAAATATTCTGCAAACAGTATTTGAGAGTGTTCTAAAGATTTTTTTGGAGATTATATGCTTGCCTTGGATAGTAACTTATGTCAAATATGGTTGAGATATTTGTCAAATAAAAAAAAACTTTCCATACAAGGACTTCAAATTTCTTTGCAGATTTTAACACTGTCTAAGGCAATAACCCGTGCCAAATTTCTAGAAGATATCTCTTCAAATGGAAAGGTTTTCCATACAAGCACCTGATTCTGATCGTTCAGTTTGCATGGCATCTGAGTATATGCTATAGTGGTAAGATATTTGCGGTTCCGACAAATGAGCGGTATCGTGGGAAGAAGAGGACGTTTGCAAATTTTCAGATTGATATCTTAAAATCTAAGAGAGAACTGGGTAAGCGAGCAAACTCTATAAGTGAGAATAATTCTCAGGTACCGAATCTTGACCGCTCAAAAACCTCTATGAGTGAGAAACAAAAACCTCCATAAATGACAATCGTTTTTCCCACTCTGACCTCTATAACTGAGAGCCTGTTTTGTATTGACCTCTATAAACGACAATTTATCTATAAATGACTTATTTTTTTATTTTTCAGGAATCAGTAACTATGTTGTTTTCTTGTAATTCAAAGAAATAATATTACTATTATTTTATATTATTATTATAATTAACTGTATTAATTTATTTTTCATGCTACCTGCAGTTCATAAATATCATTTGCAACGAGCTGTACAGCCCTTACAACAACTTATAATGTCTAACCGAAAAATCAGCGTGTTGTCGTTTTAGTGAGAAACCTCTATAAGCGAGAAAAAATTCATGGTTCTTTGAACTCTTTTTTAACCAGGTTTGACTGTGCTTTTTAGAAACTCCGCCATTTACTTCTGGATCAAACTTCTTGGCAAAGTGAACAGTATATTCTGTTCAAAGAAAAAAAATTGACTTGAAAGCGGCCAAAATGGTATAATGATCAAATAAGTTTAGACTTTATTTGGGCACGGTTGGTTACTAGCTTAATCTTTTTCAGTAAAAATACAAATTTTCAGTGAGTTGAAATTATCGGCAATCTCGGATTTAGGTTGATAATGTATGCATATGCATGTAAAGTCTTGTTAATAATATTTTCAGTTATTTGCGCCCCTTTGAATGTGTGCTTTATTTTACCTTCTAAACTAAAGCTAACCTGCGGTTTGTAGTTATTGTAAATTATACGAACACCTAACATATACACACATATGTATGTGTATGGAATTAGTGTGAATAACTCATACCGTATGCTGACATACTTTTGCATAAATACCGTTATTCAACTAATTCACACAACACCCACAGCCAGCCGGATGTAACACGTCTAACGGTTTATTATAATTTTTCGGCACTTTGGTGTAGTTACTCGATTTTTTTATTTGTCCAAACTAAATAATGTTAGGTTATGATGACAAATTAATGATTCGGTGTGCCCCATGGTGTAAATTATACACCCCGTCACTGAATTATTTATCGCGTCATAAATAATAAAATTTCGTGCTGTTAATAATGCTACGCCGGCAAAGGTGAATAAGATCGCTAAGGCAGTGGTTGCCACCTGCATTCATACACATACTTGTATGTATATGTATATAAACATGAAATATATATGTGAAGGTGAAATTTCGTTCACATATTTTAGACACCATCTTTTCGCAAGTTCTTACAATTTAACAAATTTTGCCGCTGTAATAAAAATTATTTTTAGCAAGGATGTAGTGTGAAATACTGGCGATTATATAATATTCCACCCTATAAAGTATATACTAAGCACAGCCATAAGTTCTGTTACAAGTTCAGGCCGTTATAAAAATGGTCACGTTTTGCTTTGACCCACGCCCTTAAACGGGTACGTACAGTTTCTATTGGTGTTGACGACGCTACTCATACCAAAGGTTTTTTTAAACTCTCCAAATTTCTGTGGGATATTCGACAGGCCATGTTCTTCAAATCTGACCGCAAACGGTCAATCATGCAGCAATAAGACCAGGAATATTGCTTTCACAAGGTGTACCGGTATGAAGTGATCGTTGAGATACAAATGTGTTGGTAGAGAACATTTGTTGTGAACGAACCTTAATTTTTTTTCTGTTTGGTTGACACGACAGCTCTCAAACATATTCAATAACCTTACAGACATTGAACAAACAGCAGCATATTTTTTCATTGTGTTGAAAATGTCAAATTTTTTACCGGAAAGTTATGATTTGCGGAAAGCACTAATTTTTTACTTCCATTTGAAGAAAAGTGCTGCAGAGTCGCATCGAATGCTTGTCGAGACATATGGTGATCATGCTTATCAGAAGCAACATACAAAAGATGGTTTGAACAGTTCAGAGATAATGATTTTGATATGAGAAATGAAGCACGTGGAAGACCACGAAAAAAGTTTGAATACGCCGAACTGCAAGCAAGTTGAATGAAGATAATACTTTGAGTCAAAAGCAAATGGCAGCCATGTTAATTATTGCAAAACAAACAATTTCAAATCATTTGAGAGCTATGGGAAAAAACCAAAAGTGTGGTAAATGGGTGCCACCTTAAATTGAATGAAAAACAAATGGAAAACCGAAAAAAAAACTTGTGAAATTTTGCTTTAAAGACATGAAAAAAAATCAGTTTTGCTTCAAGTTGTCACTGGCGATGAAAAATCGATATATTTTAAGAATGCTAAACGGATAAAATCATGGGTAAATCCGGGACAACCATCAACATCGACTGCAAAAACAGTTTGATGCGGTAAGAAGGCAATGCTCTGTGTTTGTTGGTATCAGAAGGATGTGGTATATCATGAGCTTCTAAAACCTGGTGAAACTGTAAATACTAATCGCAATAGACAACAAATGAGCCAGAAGATACGGCAAAGTAATTTTGCCTGCATTTTTCGTGCTCAAATCCAATACACAGCGATTACGATAAGTAGATCAATTATGGTTGAATTTCTGCTTCGGGTCGGTGCATTTTGAGATGGATGCTCAGAATACCGAAAACATTTTCCACAGTCTTTCATTAGTTACGGGTTATAATATATTTTCTCAACCTCTTTCCGACGTTTAGGAAGAGTACGAATTACAATAGGATTAAAAGACTCGACTAAGAAAGTCGATGTAGGCAAAACTATTTTAAAGGAGAGACGACTGTGTGTTTTTATTTAACTTTATAAGCTTCTAGAAAAGCAGTTAAAACTAATGCTTTATACATACATACTTGCATACACTGCCGCCAATACCAGCTGTTTATTCCATTCAGCTAACTATCATATGGCAATTTTTAGTCACATGTGTTACATATCTAATCTCTAATGGCTCTTACCTTCTATTAGTTCAATGTCTAATGAATATTATCACAACATGGAATATTTAACTTTCTATGTACTTTGAAACGGCTTTATTATCACAATGCTCTTATCGCTATTATCAGCACGTATCATAATCTCTCAACCGTCATCAACGATAAAACATACAAAATTATGGATTATCCAAACATAGACACTTCATTAGAGTACCAGAACTCAGTAGAAAATGACTGATCGTGAAACTGAAGTGAATCAAGTGGACAATATGCATATTCGCGTAATAAAATCGAGTGAGCGCGATGAGGTGGTTAATTTTCTTTGAACACATTTCTATCCAGATGAACCGTTGAACATTGTCAAAGATCAAGAACCCTTAGTTGCAGAGTATGGTATTGCAGAAATAGCGCATGGATCCAGCTTCATAGCAATGTAACAAAAGCCAGTTAACAAATTATTTTCTGCTCCGAAGTATAGCAATGAAGCTGAGCATTTATTTCAGGAGGTCGACCGTCACAGTTCGGATAATTGGGGCAGGTTGTTTCGGATTTTTGTTTAGGCCGAGCGCGACGCTAATGTCTTCAAGCCTTATAAAGTTGAGAGAGCGTTGCATGTAAATGCCTCGGCGGTCCATAGGAATTTTCGTGGACGGGGGATTGGTACGAGACTTAAAGAGAAGCTAAGAGACTTGGGTCGTGAGCTCAAGTATCCACTCATGACTACGAACTGTGCCAGCTTTTATTCGGCGCAATTAGCTGAGTATGCAGTGTTTGAATGTCATTAAGTATGCTGATTATCTGGATGAGAAGGGTAAGGTGGTGTTTAAGCTGCCACCGCCATACGAATAACTGAAAACGTATGCCATGAGGCTGAAAATATTCAGAGATACATATATTATATAATATACAATAACTATGTCGTACTTATTATCATAGATATATTTATGTATATATATAAGTATATATAATAAGTAATCAGGCTCCAAAGTGTGTATTACCATTGAATAAAAATAAATTTGGTTACCATTGAATTGAAAAATAGTTATTTATTTGTAAGGTTAGGTTGAGCTGAGAGTGTCTAGAAGTGAGACTTTTAGGAATTTATGTTGCTATTATAAAACGCGATTATGTCGCAACAGTATTGTTTTCTTTAATAGTTGAAACTGTGAAACTCAAACTCCAAAAAAATATATAAACTGGAATGAGGTGATGATTACTTCAATGATTTCAGAGGGTACAGTTGGAGTCCCAATAGGAAGGATTCCCAATTACAATACAAGCCTCAGTGGGGCACGACATTATATAAAATTCCTGAATATGTGGTTTATATCATCGAAACATCTTGAGGTCATCAAAAAACTGTTAAGTTGACTCTGTTTGCTGCCAAATAGTCTTACAGGATGCCTAAATGAGTGGAAACACAGGAGCTAAATCGCACACAAGTGGAGTAATTGAGAAAGAAATACTGATATACTTTTTTTTCAGCAACTGACAAAATTATTGGTCTTACTAAATGGGTTCCAATTCGGTAACGAGCAGTCTGAACATATATTATTCTATTAGCTAGATCCTGACAAACATTGTTGAGTGCAAGAAGCTGGAACTAGCAGGACTTTGCGATGAGGAAAGTATTGACGCAGCTAAAGTACTAAAGGTCAGTTATTCAATAGTAACTTTCAAGTAAACAATAAAGCTGCCAACCGCCCCTGAGCCGTTAATAATGAAATTACGAGTGAGATATTTTTTGGTAAACGTGTTTCTATTGCTGCCTTAATGGGGCTTCCATCGTCGGCTTTAAAAACTTTACAGTAGTCTAGAGTCCGAAACCAGAGCTGGTGGTGAATACATGACAGATTTAAACCCTGTACGATTATCGTTTTGAAGTTTAAATGGCTCAGCAGACAAACTCATTTCTTTATGAATATTTGCAACTGAAACACAAAGCTTTCAGAGGAATAACGCGCAGGTATTTTTAAGGACTCTTCATAGATTTTACCAAAGTCTTTTAGGCGTAATCATCAGCTCTTCATATCTCAACTCAGCTGGACATTTAACTGCCAATTAAAGTTATGTAGATCTACGTCATAGCCCTGTACATAATATTGTTTAAATGTATTTGTTTTCAATAGTACCGTTTTTTTTTTTGGTTTAAATCGGCGTGACGCGGATTTAGATGTTGCTTTATGTCGCAATTAAATATGTTTTTCATCTTTTCGGACACTGTATGCTCTTGCAAATATTTCGAATTCGCGAAATACCCGCGTTTACAGGTTTCTCCTTTCTACTTACGATGACTCGTTGCAATTTCTTTAATTCATTCTCATCCTGATCTTCGAGTATTGGGCCGTCATATCGAATGCTAACTTTATGCAATGCAAACTGAACTCTCTTGCAGCGCACCTCCAGCGCCATTACAATACAGTAGAGCAGCATTTGCAGCGTCTTACAGCGCAGCAGGTAGGGTCTACAGTCACCCTCGCCAAAGAGTGGATAATCTTTGCTCTGGCAATCAAACATGAAGTAATCACCACCAACGCAACCGTTGCAATTATCACGTCCAATGACCACAGCACGCAGGTGGCGACAATGCAGTAGACCGACCTTATGTTGACTAAAGAAGTTAATCAGACTCTTGGCTAAATTCTTAATAGGCGAATTATTATGCTCATAAAGTGCACCAAATGAAAATATTTCAGTGTGCACTTTAAAGCGTAAATTGTCCAAACAGCAAGTATCACAGAGGTCATGTAGCGTGAATTGATAGATTTCACCACGGTATTTACGCAAACTATTGTAATAATAACGATCGCCATTGATCACAATGCTGTCCAAGAGGTGTGGCTTCCAATGCGCCAATGGATAAAGTTTTGCCGCACAGCAAGCCACTATGTTGCAGGCCCAACTATGCTTGTCGCACGCTTTGGGATTGAAGACTTCATTTAGCGGATGCAGATAACCCCACAGTGACCATAGCTCATTCGGGATTTCGATGTCGTAGACACCACATTTGCTTTCCGGTCTGCAACGCGCCACATTGGCCGAGTTGTTTTTGCTTAAACGACTCCAGACCGGCGGAAAACTGGGCACATTCAGCCAATATATGACTTCGGACGGCAGCCAATCGGTGGCATCCCAACAACATTTCCTATTGCGGCTTGACATTTTATCGGTGTGTAATTTGAACAGCCGAGGTCGCTGGTTTAAAATCAAATTTTGCTTTTATTGCACAAACTTCTTTGTTTATTTTTCACGAATTTCTTTTTTTGTCGTAATTGCGATTTTTATTGCTTTTAGTTTTGTTGTTTGTAATTTAGTTCGAAACCATTAGTGCTGATCTAATATTTATAATCGCATGAATTTGTTTATTTACAATTTTGTAATCAGTTTCTGCCAAAAAGTTGTTCGATTTTGAATTTCGATATGAACAAAACAGAAATGAATGAATGAATGAAGTTTTCACTGTTGCTACTCCGTTTTGTTACTATTAATATAATTTTATGGAGACCGAAGTTCTTAAAAATTCTGTTTGAGGAACATAGCTTTATTACTCCGTGTAGCCCTAAAACAGTGCCGAAAATTCGTACTTTTGCTCACATTTCTTAAAATTGAACCGTTAGCCGTGGCAAGTTCATCAAAACTTAGAGATTTGAAACGGGAATTTATGTTTATCAGAGATATTGGAATTTTAGTAAGCAAAACATAGATATTTCTTCATAATAGTGGTGTAGAACTATGACAGTAGTAAGAAAAACGGTAAGAATGAGATCTTCTATATAAAATTTATAAATCTCTGTTGAGAGAATTTGAAGAAGAAATAATGTTTTTTTGGCCGCTTATGTGTTGCACGAACGAGAACGATATTATACAGGCATCAGTCGAAAGATGGCATTTGGGTTATCATTTTAATCCCCTGTCTGCACCGGATTGCACGTTGCAAAAAAAAAAAATCCTAAATAAGTGTAAAAAAATCTATAATAAGTATCCATTCACATACAACTTTCCTCGCTTTATGTGACAGTTCAACCATGGATAAAAAAGAGTTTCGTATCATTTTATCAAATGTCTGACGCAAAGCGCAGCAAAAGTTCTATGTGAAATTTTCAATCGCTCAACATGCAAGGCACAAGAAAAAAATACAACATATGGTAAACAAAAAGCAAATACAGAGGTACACTGGTTACTGATCATGTGCATTTGTTGTACTTGTCTCTGATTGTCATGCGTTTTTTTTTCTCTTACATTTTAAGCTATTGCATAGCTTCTATCACGGGCTTTAAGCGCGGCGAACGAATCAAGAAATTCCGTAACGTAAATGAACCTAACACGAGCAAAAAGTATGAGCAAAATGTTTGCATACTTTTAGGCGTATTTTCGCATATCCGAAGTGGAACAAATCAATTGAAGAGACAGCAGGGTGATTCAAAAATAATAATATTTAAGATACAAATTTTTTAATGGCAAATTAATTAATAAAAAATAAATTTAATATTCGGAGTCATAACATTAGAACATTATTATTATTTTGGTAAATAGCTACCCCACCTTTTGGAACAGTATCTGGTTTGAATTGAACAATACAATTGAAATTAGGTATTTCAATCGGATTATCAATGGTAATAAATTTCCACTTATCTTGGCTGGCGATTTGAACATCAACTTCGCTGTTATAATCAAAGCGATTGACAACTTTTCTTACGAAAAAACTAATTTCAAAATACATAATGATCCAGAAGAATCCACAACAAAATATGGGATGACGCGGTATTTTCCAGATATTTAGAGGATAACAACTCTCAAACTTATGTTACTTATTTCAGTTATCATAAATCTATAGTTTCAATGAGAAAAATTCCTTAATAATCTACATGTATTTTAAGATAATACAAATATTTTCTCATTCTCATTTATTCAATAAAAGAAAAATAATTGTTTTCTTATTGATCACCACGCTCAAAAAGTGTAACTTGAATCAATATCAAAGAAAAAACTTGAATTAACATCAAAGAAAAAAAAATACTGCATAAAAGTTAAATAGCTGATTATAATTGCATAAGTTGATAAAAAAAATGCTATGCAATAAATAGCTTTACTGCGGCAGTCCTTGAGTGTCACACGTATTTCTTATTATTATTATTATTTTTTTTTTTGATAAGCAAGACCGCCACAAGTCGGTGCAAATAAAAAAGAAGAGTGTGAAAAAGAAACACACGACACATACTTCTTTGAGTCGATATTCGCACCAACATACATGTTAAAGCTAGTATAGGTACTTTGAGTTCAAAAATTTGATACTTCTGCAGTTCTCTGATCAACTCTCTCTAGCGATAAAACATTTAAATTGTGAATAATCCAAGTATTGACATCATTACCGTATTAGATATTGGTAGAAAATGACTGGTAGCGAAGCTGCAGTAAACCAGGCGGACAATATACAAATTCGCGTAATAAAATGGAGTGAGCGCGATGAGGTGCTTAAATTTCTTCGCCTACATTTCTACCCAGATGAACCGTTGAGCATTGGCAACGTACAAGGACATCCGGATCCGGAAGATGAGAAATTCAATATTTCACAAATAGCGCACGGAACCAGTTTAATGGCAGTACAACAACAAACTGTTAACGGTATGCTAAACGAACGTATAGTTGGCGTTTTGCTGTCTGGTCCAAAGTTTAGTAATCATGCTGAGCATTTATGTAAGGAGGCCGCTCGTTTTGGTTCATCCAATTTGGGCAAGCAAATAGGAATATTGGCTCAAGCCGAGCGCGACGCTAATGTCTACGAGCGTTATAATGTTGAGAGAGCGTTGCATGCACATGCTATGGCGATCGATAAGAGTTTTCGTGGACATGCAATTGGAACGAGAATTATAGAAAAGTTGAAAGACTTGGGCCGTGAACTCAAGTATCCACTCTTGACTACGGACTGCACCAGCTTTTATTCGGCGCAATTAGTGGAACGTATAGGTTCGGAGTGTGTGAACATTATTAAGTATACGGATTATCTGGATGAGAAGGGTAGGGTGGTGTTTAAGCTGCCACCGCCACACGAATATCTGAAAACGTATGCCATGAGGCTGTAAATGTTCAGAGATACATATATTATATAATATACAATAACTATTTTATACTTTCTATCGCAGATATATATGTATATATATAAGTGACATACATACTTGTATGTACATACATATGTACTTCTTTGTTGTACTATTTTTCCGATATTTGTTCTCAACTGATGTCAATAGTCAAGCTGAAAATACTAAATAAACAATAAATAATTAGTTCATTACATTTTATTAACAGAATTGTGTTTTATATCACTGACGTAGTCGGTAGGATTAGTTAAAATGATAATTTAAAAACATCTACTTGAGTTATAAAATAGAAATGGAAATATAAAAAAAGGTTTAAATATTGTGAAGTGTTCAATTTTCTATTAAGGGATAAGCTGCAACTACTAGAGCAGTAACCTTCAATGGCCTCTAAGGTAAGAACCTACGGAAATAACCTCTACTTGACATTCATTGCCTGCGTAGTTGACGCAGACAATGTAAATTCATTTACTGAAGCGTAGGAGAGGAGGGAACGAACAATCCAAAGCATAAAGCTCATTGCTCCATTCGATAGCAACAATTATTACCTGGCGTTATAAATTATTAGTTTATATCAGTGGTCGGCATTTCATAGCACAATTGTGCAAGCTAACTTCACACGTACGCTTACGCTCTATCATTTAGTCGTTGTCGAGCATTGTAAAACCTATACATTTTTACAATGTTGTCGAAACAGCGACGAAAAAACATCGCGCGTGTTCATGCCTCTAAGGCATGCCCTGCACGAAATTTTGTGTCATGATGAATGCTTTATGGTGTTATGAATTATATTTTATGTTTTACTTTACTTAATGACAATAAAATAAAAGTTTTTAGTGTTGAATTAATCATACAATATATAAAATTAATCAGGAAGGTGTTTGTTTAAACAGAGAATGAAAAAAATTCTCAAAATTTCCTCTCATACCGATCACTGGTTTAAATGCTGTAATCACAGTTACAATTTTGTTCCATTTTCTTTTTCTTGGGCCATTGGCTCAACACTCTTTAAAATGGTCCATTTTAAATGCAACGCTTTAAGAAATATTCTTTGTCCAATAATTTAACAGGGTTACTTCATTGGCGTCACAGTAATATACAGTGGCAGCGTTGCTAAATAATTTCACGACTGTTCTCCAAGTTATCGAATCTGGTAACAGTATGCAGCTGTGAAATTTGGGACAAGTTCAGTGCTGCCAGCAGTGAAGATTTGTCTTCAAAATTATGATTTTTTTTTTTTAATATCATTAAAATCTTAAAGTTATTAAAACTTATTTAAACGAAATCAAAATTTCATGCAAAAAATTTGCATTATATTGTATAATAGAGAAATTTTCAATTGGTAAAAAGTTTACAATTTTTGTGCCTAATGATGCTGATTTTGTGAAATTTCAAGATATTTCCAAAACTCTAATCAACAATTGAAGACATAAAATATTGAATAATATTGAGAAAAAAACTCAAAAATATTAGAGGTTATCCCGACTTTAAAATAAAAATTGTAATCCCGAACTATTTAAAAGAAATCACACCACTTGCTTACAAAATCAGAGATAAATTTGTATTTGATTTTTGGGAATGGGTTAAAAGACATTGCCTTACTTGTAGTGATATGTATTCTAAATTTGTAACTGTTGAAGTACAAACATTGAACTGGAAAAAAGAGGGGTAATAAAAATTTTTTATACTATGAGACCTGCAAAAATATTGAAAACCGATCAAGATTAGGGAATAAATAATGTTAATATTAAGCAGTGGTGTGAGTGGCTAAATATTAAAATAGAAGTAACCACTGAAAAGACGGACATTGCAGATATCGAACGTGAACATAAGTATTTGAGTATTAAAAAGTACTCAGTGAAGGTTAAGAAGTTATCGAAAATTTCATGCGACTCGTCCATCCACCTCTGTTAATGATGACAACATCGAAAAATTGCCTCAATACATTTTGGTTATTGTTTTGGGTAGGAAACGTACCATGACCAAATTCACCATAACGACTCTGAAAGCAGCGTTTCCAGAAAAAACCAGTTTAAAGCTTTGGCATCCGAATACACTAAGTTAAAAAATTCTTACAAATATGCTCATAACTCCCTTGGATAAAATTTGGCAAAGAGTCTGCTTCGGTTCGGAGCATTTTGAGTTGGAAAATCAGTGACGAATGGTCTACACATTTTTCAATATCTCTCTTTCATCAGTTTACCATAAGTTTTGTTTGGTCGTTGGAAAGTTGTTTTTGGAAAAGTACAGGTTACTCCAGGATACATAGTAGTCTCTCAACAATACTGATTAAAAGGAAAGACGAGTGAATAACTATCTTTAAAATTTTCTAGGACTTCAGTCCAAATTAATGCTTTGTATTTGCATTCTCACACGCCCATATCAGCTGTTTATTCAATTCCGCTGACTGCCATAGGTCTATTTTTTAGTTACATATGTTATATATTTAGTTTTTACCGGCTCGAAAGCTTTACTTTCCATTTGTTCACTTTCTAATGAACGCTATTACAATATAGAATATGCGACTTTCTACTTTGATTTGGCATCAATTACATCAAAATTTATTTATTATTCAAAAAAAATTAATAATCCAAATATTGACTTCATTAGAGTACCAGAGCTCGGCAGGAAATGACTGGTAGCGAAGATGAAATAAACCAGGCGGACAATATACAAATTCGCGTAATAAAATGGAGTGAGCGCGATGAGGTGCTTAAATTTCATCGCATACATTTCTACCCAGATGAACCGTTGAGCATTGGCAACGTACAAGGACATCCGGATCCGGAAGATGAGAAATTCAATATTTCACAAATAGCGCATGGAACCAGTTTAATGGCAGTACAACAACAAACTGTTAGCGGTATCCTAAACGAACGTATAGTTGGCGTTTTGTTGACTGGTCCAAAGAGTAGTAATCAAGCTGAGCATTTATTTAAGGAGGCGCCGCTCGTTTTGGTTCATCCAATTTGGGCATGCAAATAGGAATATTGCCTCAAGACGAGCGCGATTGGTAATGTCTACGAGCGTTATAATGTTGAATGCTCCGGCGGTCGATAAGAGAGCTTTTGCGACATTATAAGAAATTATGGCAGAAGGAATGAATGGGTAGTTTTGAAATTATACTAGTTATCAATATCATTGATGAAAGAGTTTTCTACTCCAGGGTCACTCTCATCAATAATCAAATACAAAACAACAACAGAGAAAACAATTCTATTATTCTACTAAAGTGCAAATGAGGAACGACAAATCAAGAGCTTTGTCATTCGTTGATTACCATTTTATGGGTCCAAGTGTATATAATATATTCGTTATGCTTCACAATTGAATTTATTTTTATATGACTTCTCTTTAAAGTGCACTTTCGAAAGAAAACAATTACATTTAATTTTATAATCGAGAGCGAAATGGGACTTTCGAAGAAATAAAAAATCAAATTGGGTTTAAATGAGAAATGATAAATAGAAAAAAGCATTTTGCAAAAGAAATCGTATATACTTCGGTGCCTGTAGGAATTTTGACGACGATTTGTATGTTCTTTTTTGGTTTATATGGTCGACTAAATATTCTACTAATGCGATCAGATTTCCATCATATTGAAATCATTTTCAATTATCTGGAATTAATTTCAGAATTTACATCGGTAAAACTCAAGAAATTCGTATTAAGACCGCCAATACGGGAAACTTCCAAGTCGATGTTATAGAACTCTAAATTGTAAAATCCCTATGTTACTTCAGTATAACGAAGGCCAAAACAAGCTTTTTGGAGCTCTACAATCACTCCGCAACGTACCAAAATAAAAATATTTTCCACCAATGTTAAGTCCACACTTCCATACGGTTGCGAAACATGAGAGTTTTCACAAAACTACGCAAAATTTGTCGCATTTTCTGGCCCGTCACCATCTCTATTACGAAATCCAAACACACTCACCCGTAACACTATCGACTGAAATGCACAAGGCCCGCTCAAACTTTGAGAAAAGAATTGGATAGCGAAATATTTAAAATCAAAAAAAATGGGTCACGCACTAACCAAACACCTCTGTGGACCGAAATTCTCAAAAGAAAATACGACAGGTTCTGGCATGTTCTGAGTCGAGATGGAGACACAATCACCTGGAACGCTACCGGCTGGAATCCACAAGCCAACCGACGGAAAGCCCGCCCCGCTGTAACCTCGAGAAGAAATTTTGACATCAAACTATACTAAGGTACATAAAAGTTGGAGCAAAATTAAAAGGCAAAAAGACGAGATCAAAATAAATGGAATAGTTTCAGTGTGATCCAGCTGGTAATTAGACGTGGATTTATAAATATGACGTCAAAAAATCTATGGTGTGGCGCTGCAAAAATGAGTCGAAACCGAAAAACTAAAATTTACTGAAGGCACCGAAGGTCATCCCAGCCGCAACTTATAACAAGTGTATGAAGAATTCGATTGAGCGTTGGCATGTTTGTATTGACTCCAAAGGAACCACTTTTGAAGACGATAATAAAAATTTGTTTTAATATATGTCAAAATGTATTTTGATTTTGTCAATCCGTGTCAAATTTGAGCCTTTTGCACATGAAATTTAATGTCGGAAAGTCGGAACATATGTGTGTGCGGTAGATGGCGCTAAATATATAATAAATTCCAAATCCTATTAACAACGTATTCATATGTATTAGGCATATTTAAAACATCGAAGAAATAGAGTTACAGATTCTTTAAGATTAGTACTAAACTACGCCATAATACTATAATACGCCGTACAGATCCACCGACGTATTGTATATTACGGTTTTTTCAGTCAGCCCTATGACCGAAACTTTGCTAAGAAATATCAATTAAAGGTATATATATATGTGATTAAAATTTTCTTTCACCGCCGCATATACCAGCAGCCCCTTGACATAGTTAGTGACGATTATGTCTTATGACAGTGCTTAAAGCTTCGTCAGTTAGTCATTGGGGTGATAAGCGAAAGAGCTGGTGGTTGTTTCTGGTTGTGGCCATGTCACTTAACTTCGACCGTTTCGACTTTCACTAAATCCAACTTTAGCCTCATTTAATCATTAAAATGATTTAATTTGCTTTGGTTGCTGCGTCGTGGAACTAAATTTTTTTCATATTGTCCAATACAAGAGGGTTCGAAGAGTCGTTGCTTTCACGAAAGCCCAAGTGGCTGCACTGAAAGCGTAAGTACTCGTATACAAATATTG